CTGACTCTTCCGAGAAGCTGTACCATTTTACATACCCACCAGCAATGTAGGAGAGATCCAGTTTCTCCCTGTCCTCACCAGCATTTGGTGTAGTCTCTCTCTCTCTCTTTTTTTTTTTTTAATTTTAAGTAGGATATTTGTCTTTATTATTTTATTATTATTATTATTATTGTGTTATATGAGTTCAAAGCTAAATTGGAAAATGTCTTTCTTACACAGCACATTTTTTTTAATTAAACGGAAATTTTCCTACAAATGAGTCTCTTAAAATTTCCTTTTAAGTTAAGTAAATGTAATATTTATTAATCAGTTGTTCTAACCCAGATACCAGATACTACATTTAACAGATGGAATAGTGAACAAGATATAGTTTTTGTCCATAGTCTAGTGGGGGAGACATTTAAGACGAAAATAAATTTCAAAATACTAGAATGTGTACCAAAACAGGGGGCACAGAATGTTGCAAGAATATATCTAAAGGTCATTTAGTCTTGTCTTTCTTTCCAGGAAAGACTTTCCTGAGGTATGGTAAACCCAATATGTGCACAATGGATACACTGATCTGGACAAAGAAAGAGGGTAGGTGAAAGTATTATAGTGAAGAGCTTGTAGAAAATTGCACAAGGGAACAAGACCATAGCTGGAAAAAATGGTGGGTAGTGTCAGAAGACTCAGATGGAGAGATGAATAGTGTCAAACTATTAAGAGTTATGTTTCTCATATTGAAAATTTTAGTTTTATGTTAAAGGCAATAAAGTGAACCGAGTCAAAGTAGATCTTATTGGAAACATGGAAAAATTGCACTCAAGTTGCAGTGTGGAAATTGAATTCTAAAGTGTGAGAGCAGATCAAATGAGAAATGATAATGCCCTGGGTCAAAGCAGTGGCAATAAGGAGAGCAAGAATTGTCAACACTTAATGAATTAGGTGTGGAGGAGAAACAGAGAGAGAAAAATCAAGAAAGCCATTGGCTTGGGGTTTGAGCAATTAGATAGATGTTGGTGACATTTACTGCAGGGAAAGTGAGTTTGGTAGGGTGGTGGTGCTGTTATAACTTTAATTTTCACATGATGAATCCAGATATCTGTGCAGAATTCCAAGTAGAATTATATTATCAAACGTATAGGACTGAAGTTTGAATGTGACCTCTATCTTATCTTTGAAGGAATTATTTCCATAACCAGACTATTTAATAAACTAGTAAATGTATTTGAAAAAAAAAAAAGTATGGAAAATTCCTCTAAAATGCAAGGAGGGGATACTGGGAAGGATGGGAGAAAGGAAAGAAAGAAGGAAAAAAGAGAATTAAGGAATTATTTCTACAACTATTAGGCCCCAATATGGGGCTACCCACTTTCACTAGTAATAAATTATTCTTCCCAGTAAGTCCATAAAGAAACATTATGCCCTTTTTTGCAAAGCTTTCAACCCAGTCATTCTGATACCAAATCAAATGTTATTTCTTTTATACTTCATTTCTTTCTATTTAAAGAAAACTCTGTAATGAGGGGAAACAATTATAGAGAATCCTGTATTCTCTTACAATAATTAATATTGCTTCAGCTCAGGGAAATTGTTTTTCTACCCAAGCTTTTTTTCAAGGCAAATTTAACGTCCTTGTTCCTGAAGCTATAGATCAGAGGATTGAGCATGGGCATGACAATGGTATAGAACACAGTGGACACTTTTCCCTGGTTCATGGACAAAATAGAAGAAGGATGGAGGTACATGTATGCCCCTGATCCAAAGAATACACAAACAGCAATTAAATGTGAGCTGCAAGTGATGAAAGCTTTGGACCTTCCTTCCCTGGAGTTAATGTTGATGATACTGGAAAGAATGAAAGTGTAAGAGACAATGATGGTGAGGCTGGGTACAGCAACATCAAAGCCTACAACAGCGTAAACCACTAGTTCATTGACTTCAGTGCTGGTGCAGGAGAGCTCTAGCAGGGGGAGGATATCACACATATAATGGTTGATGGTGTTAGCATCACAGAAGGTCAGCCTCAGCATGCATCCAGTGTGAGCCCAAGCAACAACAAAGGCCCCCACATATACAATCAGAGCCAGCAGAGAACAGGCCTGAAGGGACATGGTAACTGTGTAGAGCAGTGGCTTGCAGATGGCCACATAACGATCATAGGCCATCACTGTCAGCACATAACACTCAGCATTCACAAAGAAGCAATAGAAAAAGAGCTGAGTCATGCACCCTGAGTATGAGATGGTGTTTATCTTTGATACAAAGTTTACCAGCAGTTTTGGGGTGATGGCAGAAGAGTAACAGAGATCAATAAAGGATAAATTAAAGAGGAAGTAGTACATAGGAGTGTGAAGGTGAGAGTTCAGTCCAATTAGAGTGATCAATCCCAGGTTACCTGCCACAGTGACAATGTAGATTCCTAGGAAGAAGAAGAAGAGGGGAAGTTGGATCTTTGGATATTCTGTTAAACCTATAAGGATAAACTCAGTCACTAAGGAACTGTTTCCAAAGTCCATTCTCTTCCAGCAGGATCTATGAAAACAGAAGAGTAAAGCTAAATGAGGTAGAACCCAGATTTCCCATGCAATCCTAAACCCAACTCCTTCATGGAGCTGAGAATCCCAGAGACTGTTCTGGGGTTTAACCATTAAGAGAGCTGACTCAGGCTCTTCTTGGACAAGAAGGGCAGTTATATGGAAGCTTAACCAAGCAATGCATAATACTAGGAGAAATGGATCAAAAGGCGAAGAAGTGCAGTGATGTATCATCTTTTCTCTGCTTCTGTCTGTCACTAATGCTTTCTATTCCCTCCCTAACTCCAATTTATATTGGTCACTCTTTACTCAGGAGCCCTAGTGCCACAGTGGTTAAGTGGCTGCTAACTGAAAGGTCAGTGGTTTATATCCCCCAGTCGCTCCATGGTACAAAAGACCTGATGAGCTCCTTCAATAAATAATATAGCTTAGGAAACCTTATAGGGAAGATCTACTCTATTTTACTGGCTCACTCTGAGTCAGAATAGATGCAATAACACATAACAGTAGCAACATTCTTTACTCACCAAACTTTAGGTACACTGTGCTGACCACTGATACATGCTGGACACTGAATAAGGTGACCATAAACACTCTACGGCCATTACAGAGTTAGGGAAAGAGTCTTAGGGTAGCTCAAACACTACAAAATGAAAGTTTGGTGGTTTGAATCCACTGAGAGGTGCCTCAGAAGAAAGGCCTAGTGATCTGCTTCCAAAAGTTCAAAGCCTTGGAAACTCTACAGAGTGAAGTTCTACTCTGTACTCATGGAGTCACCATGAGTCATAATCGACTTGATGACAACTGGTGCTGGTGGTGGTAGAGTTAGGAGACTCACAGAGGCCTTTGGCTTCCCAAAGATACATGACAAGAGAGTCAGTAAATCAGGTAGATCCCAAATCTCCTTCCTAGGAAATGCTATGAGAAGTCAGACTGGAAACACTGCAAACCTTGTAATCTTAGCACTACTTCTTACCTCTACTTTCCTCCCATACTAATCCTTTAATAGACCCCATTTGGGATAATCTGTACCTCAGAACCAGAGAGGTTAAAGCATAGAGATCCATTATTTTCCATGGGTATGGGTTTTGAAAAGGGTTGTAACAAAAATATTCAGTGCTCACCCTCCTTTCTGTCGAAAAACCACTGTACCTGTGGTTTCTTCTCCACTATTGTTCTCCAAAGAGAAAGACCTCTGCTGATAGAGAAGTTAAGACTCCTGAACTAAAGTCCCTCCTTTTGTGTGAAGATGCCCAGGGCATTTATAAATCTCAGTCTTTACTTGCTATGATGATCAGTTAATTAAAGATTATGTTTTTTAATTATGATTTTGCCCAGATGTAATCATTAAACTGCTAAAAAAAAAAGAAGAAGAAGAAAGAGCAGAACTCTTTTTTTTCAACTTAATTACAGGTAGCATCATGTGAATTATTTTATTCCCAGCTTCAAGGTCTCAGGGGCTTGATATAGAGGCTTTCCTTAGAGCCCTCTCATAATTCAAATCCTTTAGGACAGAAAATTATGGAACTATTTATAAACGGATAAAGATGGTTTTTACCATGGTGCCTTTAGGCACTCAATATTCTACTCAAAATTTTACCTCAGGGATTTCATGTTCCTCCAGCACAAAGGAGATAGAAATTGCTCTTCTCTTTCTCTTAGTACTTGTTTGACTTTTAGGTATAAGTCATAACACACAGCTAGTAACTTATTTTAAATACCTCTTAAAAATATATTACATATACACACACAATTTCCTATTGACATTTCACCAGAGAGGATATTCAAATGGCCAAAACAAACACATGAAAAGATGCTCAACATCTTTAACCATTAGAGAAATGCAAAATAAAATCACAATAAGATGCCATTTTACTCCCAACAGGATGGCTAAGATACCAAAATTATGCAAAAAATAACAAAAGTTAAAAAGGATGCAGAAAAATTTAATCTACCATATGACTCAGCATTCCCACTCCTAGGTACATACCCAACAGGAACACAAAGAGATGTACACTAGTGTTCACTGCAACACTAAACACAATAGCCAAAATATGGAAAAAACCTAAATGCTCATCTACAGATTTAATTTTACCACTAAGTATACATGATAATATCATCTATAACATTTCATATTCTTTTAGAACCAATATTTCCCCTTTATTCTCAGCACTTTTGTTTCCTTCTCAGTTCCCTCCATCCCATAACCTCCATTTATTTGTGTGTATAACCTAGCACCCATTGTCCCAGTTTTTTATTTTTGTAGGGATTTTACCCTTAAATTACAAAGCATCTAATTTTCAACCTCTTGCTTTGTAATTTAATGATGCTTCATTGAAATCTCTCCAATTTTCTATATTGTATATACATAATAATTTAAACAACCACTCATTGATATAAATTCCTCATTTTTATGGTTTTCTAAACATCAAAATCAACACTATGATAGTTACCATTATACATACATCTATGTAAATTAATATTTTTTTTCAATATTATCAATTCCTAGATCATTGTCTTTCAGATTAATATTTGTCATCAGATTTTTTTTCTCAAAGTGTATAGTAATGTATAAAATTATCTTCCTTCTCAAAGCATTTCTACAAGAAAAATTGGTATTGATGTTTTAAATGTGTGCCAGTCTGACAGATGTAAAGTGATATGTCACATCACTCATTACTATGAGTTGTACTCCATTGACTGTTACTGAGCTTAAGGATCATTTCATAAATGTATAAATCATTTGAACTTGCTCTGTGTGACTTGCCTGTTTTTTGTACTTTTCCATTTTTCTATGGTTACTTTTTCACTTCTTGTTAATTGTAGAATAAAATGTATATGAACCCTATATGGGTAGCCTTCATTTAAATGATATTTTTTCCTATATTATTCTATTTTTTTCCTACATTTTTCTTGCATTATTGCAAATACCTCCTAAGAAGCTTCCTACTTCATTCAATGCCCTTATAGTCTATTTCCAACACAGCACCAGAATCATCTTCTTTAAACATAAACAGATTATATTTAAATTCCTTTGCTCACATAGAGGAGGAAAAAAAAAATTCACAATGACCTACAAGATCTGACATGATCTTGTCCCTTGTTAGATCTCTGCCCTCAATTTCTATGACTCTTTTCATCACTCCTTTCATTCTAATCACAATATATCTCCCTTACTGTTTTCAAATATGCCAGCAATACTGTCAAGAGGCTTTGCATTGGCTATCCCACTGCCTAAAAGTTTATTTCCTGAGATATATACATTAAATTTTACCTTCTCAATGAAGTAGGGCCTCTATGATAGTCATCTTGGTATCTTCAACATTTAGGAATTTTCCTGACATAAGATTTGTCCTTTCCTTGGATCTTTTTCTTCCTTAGAAGTTATGGAGGTAGAGTGGGGCTACTATGAGGCAATTAAAATCCAAGTTTTATTTATTTATTTATTTAGTTAGTTAGTTAGTTAGTTAGTTAGTTCCAAAATACTCTATTTTATGAGTTTTATTATGAGTTACTTTATAAATAAGTAAGGTACTTTTATTTTAAAATGAGACAAAATGTATGGTTATAAAAGTGGTTGGGAGTGAGTGGCTGGGCTCAGAACTTTGGTCCCAGGGGAGAAGCTCAAATGGCACATTATTGTACATAAAAACATTGTTCTACCTTGGTGAGTAGTGACTGAGATCTCAAGAGTTTACGAATGACCATCGATGTTGCAACTATTAGTCTTTCCTCATTCAGAGCAAAGAAGAGTGAAGAAAAAATTAAAGATGCATGGAAACAAGTAATCCAAAGGACTAATGGACTATGAGAACCTCAGCCTATATGACCCTGAGACCAGAGAACTAAATTGTGTCCAGCTATCAATTCAAGTCAGTCACAGGGACCCAGGTAAAGGTGGTATGAGAGGTTTCCAACAGGGAGATAAACTTGTCTGTCAGTTTGTCTTACTGTGGTGAAGTGTGATATCAGTTTTGAGGCTGAGCCCACTGGTATTTCTAACCCAGTGGGATGCACATGGTACACAGGTATCATCACAGTTTACAGACTCAGCCATCCACTTCTCAAATAATTAGCCAGGGAAAACCTTATGAATAGCAAACACTGTTTGATA